AGGAAAGGTTCATTGCGTAATTTGCTCTGGTACCCATGAAGTCGTGTCTTGCCCACAACTGCTAGCAGTAAGTCACAACGAAAGGTTAGAATTACTGAGGAAGTTTAAGCTTTGCTTTAGTTGTTTAAAACCCAATCATCGAGCAAAAGACTGTCGGCAACCCGTGTTGTGTGAAATCGATGGCTGCAAGCGACGTCATCATAGAATTCTTCACAACACAAAACCTGATGCTAAACAAACATGCTGTAATTCTACTTATTCTGCTGGAACGTATTTGGGATTTGTACCAGTCAGGTTACATGGTCCCACAGGACATGTAGATATCTATGCATTATTGGATAATGGCTCGGACTCGACACTACTGCTTAGTGATGTGGCAAAGCAGGTAGGAATTTCAGGTACAGTGACAAGATTGAACATATCTTCTGTAATTGGAGCGTCATCTCAGAACGCTGAGCTTATTAATTTCGAAATCGAATCTTTAGACAAGACTAATCGAATAAAAATCGAAGGTGCATATGCTATAAATAACCTACCTATTAAAAGGGCAGAAATCCCACCAATGGACTTCCAAGAAAGATGGAAACACTTGAAAGGTGTACAGCTACCCACCATAACCTGTGACAAGGTCGGTTTGTTACTTGGTGTCGACGTCCCAGAGGCCCACTGGGTCATCGATCAGCGTATCGGGAAACCTAAACAACCCTATGCTACACTAACTATGTTAGGATGGGCTTTATTTGGACCGACAGGTCAACTTGATAAAACTTCAGCCTTCATAAACTGTTTAGAAGCAAAAGGTTCCGTCGAGGAGGATATTCTCAAATTAGTTGAACATGAATTTTCTGAAAATAAGTACTCTGATAAAGTTGCCATGTCCCTATGTGATAAGACCATTATGGAAATTACTGACAAACAAACAGTATTGCTTGATGGACATTATCAAGTGTCGATGCCCTGGAAAGTGGATTGGAACTCACTTCCAAGGAGTAGATGTAGTTTCATCATAAACAAGTCTAGAATAGCACCCCTGAAATTTATCAGTGTTTCTCGTCTTGAATTACAAGTCTCAGTACTGGCAGTGAAGTTGATGAGGCAAACAGTAGAAGAAATAAAGCTAAAGGACATGACTGAAATCTACTTCTGGACTGATTTTATAATAGTATTAAATTGCATACTTAATACGGCGTCGTGTTTCAAGTATGTAGCATCATCCATCAATCCTGCTGATCGAGCTTCCAGAGGAATGTGTAAGTATGACCCTAACCCTGTTAAAGCTTGGCCTTCAGGTCCCGAGTTCCTAACGACTGAGAAAGATAAGTGGCCTGAGTATAGACGAGAAGAAATATTAAAACTCCCAGTCAAGCTAGAGTTAAAGAACGCTACAACCTTGGACACCATGACTACAGTTTTTCCCCTTGATAAATTTATATCCCATTTTTTGTCATGGATTAAACTCAAACAAGGTACAGCTTGGCTCATCAGATCCAAACGTTACCTCTACAATAAAACGATCGTAAGGGGACCCCTTACGCTTAACGAATTGGATAATGCCGAAAGAGACCTACTAAAATACGTACAAGAGCAAGAGTTTGCGGAAATTATACAATGGATTAAACGACACAAGCAATCTGATAACATTCCGTCCAAAAATCATGTCATTAATAAGCTACGTCCAATCGTGATTGACAACCTGATTCGCGTAGGAGGACGTTTGAACCGTAGTGATCTTCCGGTAGAGCAGAAACATCCAATTATTCTACCCAGCAAACACCCTATAACGGAGCTTATCATTCGTCACTACCATCAAGCTGACGGACACATGGGGGTGTACTACACACTAGCCGCCTTGCGCAAAAAGTTTTGGATCTTAAAGGGCACTACTGCAATCAAGAGGATCATACATAAATGTATAGGCTGCCGCATTAGATCAGCCAGGCCGATGTCACAACTGATGGGAAACTTGCCACCTACGCGGATAACACCCGACTTCCCGTTCGCAACGACAGGAGTAGATTATTTCGGCCCAATCACGATTAAGGAGGGACGCAAATCTCGAAAGTGTTACGGATGCTTATTTACGTGCTTCAACACCCGAGCAGTTCACATAGAAGTTGCCTGCGCATTATCAATCGATTCTTTTCTAATGGCGTTGTCTCGCTTCTCAAATCGCAGGGGGGCGCCGAAGAAGATATATAGTGATAGAGGAACCACATTCGCTGGATTAGAGAAAGAAATACAACTTCTATTACCAGACTTTAAAGATAATAGAGTAGCTAAGGAAATGATTCGTCGAAATATCGAGTGGCACTACAACATCCCTTACGCAAGTCATCGTGGAGGTATATGGGAAAGATTAATAAGGAGCATACGTAGAATTTTGAGTGCTGTATCTGGCGAGCAAACTATGACCTACGAGACACTCACCATTTATTTGACTGAAGTAGAAAGAATACTTAACGATAGACCTTTAGTTCCAGTTTACGACGACCCAGAACAACTTGAGACATTGTCACCTAATAATCTACTTTTGTTAAGAAAACCTAGCCTTCATCAGATTGAAATAAGTAAATTATACCATTGTCACCTCTGAATGATGTTACGTTAGTTCCCAATCAGCGAAAGTGAGGAAAGACATGCTGTCTTTGGGGGGCGGTGTTAAGTTTGCCTTACATTGTTCCCACTCACTCTCCTTACACTTTTTTGTTTATTGTTTTATACTACTTATTTATATTCAGTAAGCAGTTGTATCCTTAACAATTTTCACATTTACATTGTAACGCAAGTTGTACTGTAACATTCGGAAACGTTCACATATATTTATAATGTTTATTGTACTTATCATTGTATTAGTCATTATAATCACTGTACTTTAATTACTGCAACGGTTATCCACAGTTGTGGATTTGTTTAAACGCAACAGTTCCCATATCGTTTGCTCTTGGTTCGAGTTTCGATTGTTCGTAAACTATTGTCCAATTTCGACACAGCCATCGGCTGTTTTTGTACTATCGAAGCCTTTACTATTTCATTCTTGAACGACGCGGTAAACGCATAGACACCTCACAAGTTGAGGTTTGCAATTAAATTTTGTGTTTTATATAATGATAGAACCGCTTTTGTAGAAAAATCGTTGTTCTTGGAACTTCGATTTTGCGCGTATCTCAATCGGGTCATTTGGACGCTTCGATAGACTTAACAGTTCTCAACTTTGGTCTTATTGGTGTGGATACAGTTCTGAACTTTGGTCCTAATTGTTGAAGATACTTGCTGTAACTAATTTGGTCGGAATCGAGTCTGGTTCATTCAAACTAACGATGACGAAAACGAAAAGGATGAAGTACAACGATGACAGTTCCCAAGACACAGACAATTATAATGCTGAAAATATTATTCCTTCAGTTTCTAAGGTGAATTCACCTATTTCTTTAAATCTTGCTCTTGATAATGTTACCCCAAAGACAGCTGTTCTGTAAGGGACAACTATGTAGAGACTAGATGTAGCATAGAAGACGAAGTAGTTTCTAGGGAGAAGGAAGTAGAAAAGATTGAGTTGGAGATTAGAGAACTTCAACTACGCAAACGATTGTTAGAGTTAACCCCGAACTCTTTAAGCCAAGTGAGAAAAGTGAGTGAGACTAATGAGTCATTGGGGTCTCGATCTGGAGACGTAACACCAGCAGCCGTGTTAAGGCGCCAATACACCAATACACATTTGAGCGAAGCGGTACAACTTAAAGCACAGGCGGATAGTATCAAGTCACTAGTTATGACAGCCAGTTCACCTAAGATAGAGGTTATGAAATTTGATGGAAGTCCTTTGAAATTTTGGACGTTCATAAAGGGATTCAAGGCTAACATTGCCGACAGAGTAGAGGGTGATACTCAGAAATTAATGTACCTGATACATTATTGTGAAGGAGCAGCTAAGGACGCTATAGAGCATTGTGTTTTATTACCAGAAGGAGAAGGTTATACCAAAGCTATTAACATTCTACACAACCAGTTCGGCAAACCACATGACATAGTAGAAGCGTTCTTAACAGAGTTGTTAAATGGAGTGCCACTAAATCAAGACGATATATCGGGACTACAGAAACTAACAAGACTCATGACTAACTGTAAGATAGCCTTGACACAGATGGGCAGAAATGCCGATCTGAATTGTTCGACCAATCTAAAACGAATAGTGAGACGACTTCCACGAAGTATACAGTTTAAATGGGCGGAAGCTGTAGACGATATTTTAAGAAGGGGTTTAGAACCCAATTTTGATGATTTGTTACAATTCTTGGGAAAGAAAGTGTCAATTGCCACGAACACTTACGGACAGCTAGCAAGTGGGAGCTACAAAGCTCAAACGACATCGAACAACCGGTCTGCTCCCACTAGAGCTAAGATTCATACATCGTCGAGCAAAGGAAAGGTTCATTGCGTAATTTGCTCTAGTACCCATGAAGTCGTGTCTTGCCCACAACTGCTAGCAGTAAGTCACAACGAAAGGTTAGAATTACTGAGGAAGTTTAAGCTTTGCTTTAGTTGTTTAAAACCCAATCATCGAGCAAAAGACTTTCGGCAACCCGTGTTGTGTGAAATCGATGGCTGCAAGCGACGTCATCATAGAATTCTTCACAACACAGAACCTGATGCTAAACAAACATGCTGTAATTCTACTTATTCTGCTGGAACGTATTTGGGATTTGTACCAGTCAGGTTACATGGTCCCACAGGACATGTAGATACCTATGCATTATTGGATAATGGCTCGGACTCGACACTACTGCTTAGTGATGTGGCAAAGCAGGTAGGAATTTCGGGTACAGTGACAAGATTGAGCATATCTTCTGTAATTGGAGCGTCGTCTCAGAACGCTGAACTTATTAATTTCGAAATCGAATCTTTAGACAAGACTAATCGAATAAAAATCGAAGGTGCATATGCTATAAATAACCTACCTATTAAAAGGGCAGAAATCCCACCAATGGACTTCCAAGAAAGATGGAAACACTTGAAAGGTGTACAGCTACCCACCATAACCTGTGACAAGGTCGGTTTGTTACTTGGTGTCGACGTCCCAGAGGCCCACTGGGTCATCGATCAGCGTATCGGGAAACCTAAACAACCCTACGCTACACTAACTATGTTAGGATGGGCTTTATTTGGACCGACAGGTCAACTTGATAAAACTTCAGCCTTCATAAACTGTTTAGAAGCAAAAGGTTCCGTCGAGGAGGATATTCTCAAATTAGTTGAACATGAATTTTCTGAAAATAAGTACTCTGATAAAGTTGCCATGTCCCTATGTGATAAGACCATTATGGAAATTACTGACAAACAAACAGTATTGCTTGATGGACATTATCAAGTGTCGATGCCCTGGAAAGTGGATTGGAACTCACTTCCAAGGAGTAGATGTAGTTTCATCATAAACAAGTCTAGAATAGCACCCCTGAAATTTATCAGTGTTTCTCGTCTTGAATTACAAGTCTCAGTACTGGCAGTGAAGTTGATGAGGCAAATAGTAGAAGAAATAAAGCTAAAGTACGTGACTGAAATCTACTTCTGGACTGATTTTGTAATAGTATTAAATTGCATACTTAATACGGCGTCATGTTTCAAGTATGTAGCATCATCCATCAATCCTGCTGATCTAGCTTCCAGAGGAATGTGTAAGTATGACCCTAACCCTGTTAAAGCTTGGCCTTCAGGTCCCGAGTTCCTAACGACTGAGAAAGATAAGTGGCCTGAGTATAGACGAGAAGAAATATTAAAACTCCCAGTTAAGCTAGAGTTAAAGAACGCCACAACCTTGGACACCATGACTACAGTTTTTCCCCTTGATAAATTTATATCCCATTTTTCGTCATGGATTAAACTCAAACAAGGTACAGCTTGGCTCATCAGATCCAAACGTTACCTCTACAATAAAACGATCGTAAGGGGACCCCTTACACTTAACGAATTGGATAATGCCGAAGGAGACTTACTAAAATACTTACAAGAGCAAGAGTTTGCGGAAATTAGACAATGGATTAAACGACACGAGCAATCTGATAACATTCCGTCCAAAAATCATGTCATTAATAAGCTACGTCCAATCGTGATTGACAACCTGATTCGCGTAGGAGGACGTTTGAACCGTAGTGATCTTCCGGTAGAGCAGAAACATCCAATTATTCTACCCAGCAAACACCCTATAACCGAGCTTATCATTCGTCACTACCATCAAGCTGACGGACACATGGGGGTGTACTACACACTAGCCGCCTTGCGCAAAAAGTTTTGGATCTTAAAGGGCACTACTGCAATCAAGAGGATCATACATAAATGTATAGGCTGCCGCATTAGATCAGCCAGGCCGATGTCACAACTGATGGGAGACTTGCCACCTACGCGGATAACACCCGACTTCCCGTTCGCAACGACAGGAGTAGATTATTTCGGCCCAATCACGATTAAGGAGGGACGCAAACCTCGAAAGTGTTACGGATGCTTATTTACGTGCTTCAACACCCGAGCAGTTCACATAGAAGTTGCCTGCGCATTATCAATCGATTCTTTTCTAATGGCGTTGTCTCGCTTCTCAAATCGCAGGGGGGCGCCGAAGAAGATATATAGTGATAGAGGAACCACATTCGCTGGATTAGAGAAAGAAATACAACTTCTATTACCAGACTTTAAAGATAATAGAGTAGCTAAGGAAATGATTCGTCGAAATATCGAGTGGCACTACAACATCCCTTACGCAAGTCATCGTGGAGGTATATGGGAAAGATTAATAAGGAGCATACGTAGAATTTTGAGTGCTGTATCTGGCGAGCAAACTATGACCTACGAGACACTCACCACTTATTTGACTGAAGTAGAAAGAATACTTAACGATAGACCTTTAGTTCCAGTTTACGACGACCCAGAACAACTTGAGACATTGTCACCTAATAATCTACTTTTGTTAAGAAAACCTAGCCTTCATCAGATTGAAATAAGCCTACGTGAGCGTTATTCCCGACAATGGCTACAAGCGCAGCTGTTGGCAACTACATTTTGGCGTCGTTGGATAAAGGAGTACTTACCACTTTTACAGACACGAGCAAAGTGGACACAAGGGAGACGAGATCTACGAGTTGGTGATCTAGTCTTGATTATTGGAGACACCTACACACGAAATAACTGGCTTAAAGGTCTAGTGGTAAGTATCAACCCAGGAGAAGATGGGCTAGTGAGACAAGCGAAAATCAGAACGTCGAGAGGCATAATTATTAGAGATATACGTAAAATTTGTTTATTAGAAGGAGCGGATAACTGAACAGTAGAGGATAGATAGACGCTTCAGAGTGACTGTGGCTAGAGTAAATTGTACCATTGTCACCTCTGAATGATGTTACGTTAGTTCCCAATCAGCGAAAGTGAGGAAAGACATGCTGTCTTTGGGGGGCAGTGTTAAGTTTGCCTTACATTGTTCCTACTCTCTCTCCTTCCACTTCTTTGTTTATTGTTTTATACTACTTATTTATATTCAGTAAGCAGTTGTATCCTTAACAATTTTCACATTTACATTGTAACGTAAATTGTACTGTAACATTCGGAAACGTTCCCATATATTTATAATGTTTATTGCACTTATCATTGTATTTGTCATTGTAATCACGGTACTTTAATTACTGTAACGGTTATCCACAGTTGCGGATTTGTTTAAACGCAACAGTTTCCATATTGTTTGCTCTTCGTTCGAGTTTCGATTGTTCATAAACTATTGTCCAATTTCGACACAGCCATCGGCTGTCTTTGTACTGTCGAAGCCTTTACTATTTCATTCTTGAACGACGCGGTAAACGCATAGACACCTCACAAGTTGAGGTTTGTAATTAAATTTTGTATTTTATATAATAATAGAACCGCTTTTGTAGACAAATCGTTGTTTTGGAACTTCGATTTTGCGCGTATCTCAATCGGGTCATTTGGACGCTTCGATAGACTTAACAGTTCTCAACTTTGGTCTTATTGGTGTGGATACAGTTCTGAACTTTGGTCCTAATTGTTGAAGATACTTGCTGTAACTAATTTGGTCGGAATCGAGTCTGGTTCATTCAAACTAACGATGACGAAAACGAAAAGGATGAAGTACAACGATGACAGTTCCCAAGACACAGACAATTATAATGCTGAAAATATTATTCCTTCAGTTTCTAAGGTGAATTCACCTATTTCTTTAAATCTTGCTCTTGATAATGTTACCCCAAAGACAGCTGTTCTGTAAGGGACAACTATGTAGAGACTAGATGTAGCATAGAAGACGAAGTAGTTTCTAGGGAGAAGGAAGTAGAAAAGATTGAGTTGGAGATTAGAGAACTTCAACTACGCAAACGATTGTTAGAGTTAACCCCGAACTCTTTAAGCCAAGTGAGAAAAGTGAGTGAGACTAATGAGTCATTGGGGTCTCGATCTGGAGACGTAACACCAGCAGCCGTGTTAAGGCGCCAATACACCAATACACATTTGAGCGAAGCGGTACAACTTAAAGCACAGGCGGATAGTATCAAGTCACTAGTTATGACAGCCAGTTCACCTAAGATAGAGGTTATGAAATTTGATGGAAGTCCTTTGAAATTTTGGACGTTCATAAAGGGATTCAAGGCTAACATTGCCGACAGAGTAGAGGGTGATACTCAGAAATTAATGTACCTGATACATTATTGTGAAGGAGCAGCTAAGGACGCTATAGAGCATTGTGTTTTATTACCAGAAGGAGAAGGTTATACCAAAGCTATTAACATTCTACACAACCAGTTCGGCAAACCACATGACATAGTAGAAGCGTTCTTAACAGAGTTGTTAAATGGAGTGCCACTAAATCAAGACGATATATCGGGACTACAGAAACTAACAAGACTCATGACTAACTGTAAGATAGCCTTGACACAGATGGGCAGAAATGCCGATCTGAATTGTTCGACCAATCTAAAACGAATAGTGAGACGACTTCCACGAAGTATACAGTTTAAATGGGCGGAAGCTGTAGACGATATTTTAAGAAGGGGTTTAGAACCCAATTTTGATGATTTGTTACAATTCTTGGGAAAGAAAGTGTCAATTGCCACGAACACTTACGGACAGCTAGCAAGTGGGAGCTACAAAGCTCAAACGACATCGAACAACCGGTCTGCTCCCACTAGAGCTAAGATTCATACATCGTCGAGCAAAGGAAAGGTTCATTGCGTAATTTGCTCTGGTACCCATGAAGTCGTGTCTTGCCCACAACTGCTAGCAGTAAGTCACAACGAAAGGTTAGAATTACTGAGGAAGTTTAAGCTTTGCTTTAGTTGTTTAAAACCCAATCATCGAGCAAAAGACTTTCGGCAACCCGTGTTGTGTGAAATCGATGGCTGCAAGCGACGTCATCATAGAATTCTTCACAACACAGAACCTGATGCTAAACAAACATGCTGTAATTCTACTTATTCTGCTGGAACGTATTTGGGATTTGTACCAGTCAGGTTACATGGTCCCACAGGACATGTAGATACCTATGCATTATTGGATAATGGCTCGGACTCGACACTACTGCTTAGTGATGTGGCAAAGCAGGTAGGAATTTCGGGTACAGTGACAAGATTGAGCATATCTTCTGTAATTGGAGCGTCGTCTCAGAACGCTGAACTTATTAATTTCGAAATCGAATCTTTAGACAAGACTAATCGAATAAAAATCGAAGGTGCATATGCTATAAATAACCTACCTATTAAAAGGGCAGAAATCCCACCAATGGACTTCCAAGAAAGATGGAAACACTTGAAAGGTGTACAGCTACCCACCATAACCTGTGACAAGGTCGGTTTGTTACTTGGTGTCGACGTCCCAGAGGCCCACTGGGTCATCGATCAGCGTATCGGGAAACCTAAACAACCCTACGCTACACTAACTATGTTAGGATGGGCTTTATTTGGACCGACAGGTCAACTTGATAAAACTTCAGCCTTCATAAACTGTTTAGAAGCAAAAGGTTCCGTCGAGGAGGATATTCTCAAATTAGTTGAACATGAATTTTCTGAAAATAAGTACTCTGATAAAGTTGCCATGTCCCTATGTGATAAGACCATTATGGAAATTACTGACAAACAAACAGTATTGCTTGATGGACATTATCAAGTGTCGATGCCCTGGAAAGTGGATTGGAACTCACTTCCAAGGAGTAGATGTAGTTTCATCATAAACAAGTCTAGAATAGCACCCCTGAAATTTATCAGTGTTTCTCGTCTTGAATTACAAGTCTCAGTACTGGCAGTGAAGTTGATGAGGCAAATAGTAGAAGAAATAAAGCTAAAGTACGTGACTGAAATCTACTTCTGGACTGATTTTATAATAGTATTAAATTGCATACTTAATACGGCGTCATGTTTCAAGTATGTAGCATCATCCATCAATCCTGCTGATCTAGCTTCCAGAGGAATGTGTAAGTATGACCCTAACCCTGTTAAAGCTTGGCCTTCAGGTCCCGAGTTCCTAACGACTGAGAAAGATAAGTGGCCTGAGTATAGACGAGAAGAAATATTAAAACTCCCAGTCAAGCTAGAGTTAAAGAACGCCACAACCTTGGACACCATGACTACAGTTTTTCCCCTTGATAAATTTATATCCCATTTTTCGTCATGGATTAAACTCAAACAAGGTACAGCTTGGCTCATCAGATCCAAACGTTACCTCTACAATAAAACGATCGTAAGGGGACCCCTTACACTTAACGAATTGGATAATGCCGAAGGAGACTTACTAAAATACTTACAAGAGCAAGAGTTTGCGGAAATTAGACAATGGATTAAACGACACGAGCAATCTGATAACATTCCGTCCAAAAATCATGTCATTAATAAGCTACGTCCAATCGTGATTGACAACCTGATTCGCGTAGGAGGACGTTTGAACCGTAGTGATCTTCCGGTAGAGCAGAAACATCCAATTATTCTACCCAGCAAACACCCTATAACCGAGCTTATCATTCGTCACTACCATCAAGCTGACGGACACATGGGGGTGTACTACACACTAGCCGCCTTGCGCAAAAAGTTTTGGATCTTAAAGGGCACTACTGCAATCAAGAGGATCATACATAAATGTATAGGCTGCCGCATTAGATCAGCCAGGCCGATGTCACAACTGATGGGAGACTTGCCACCTACGCGGATAACACCCGACTTCCCGTTCGCAACGACAGGAGTAGATTATTTCGGCCCAATCACGATTAAGGAGGGACGCAAACCTCGAAAGTGTTACGGATGCTTATTTACGTGCTTCAACACCCGAGCAGTTCACATAGAAGTTGCCTGCGCATTATCAATCGATTCTTTTCTAATGGCGTTGTCTCGCTTCTCAAATCGCAGGGGGGCGCCGAAGAAGATATATAGTGATAGAGGAACCACATTCGCTGGATTAGAGAAAGAAATACAACTTCTATTACCAGACTTTAAAGATAATAGAGTAGCTAAGGAAATGATTCGTCGAAATATCGAGTGGCACTACAACATCCCTTACGCAAGTCATCGTGGAGGTATATGGGAAAGATTAATAAGGAGCATACGTAGAATTTTGAGTGCTGTATCTGGCGAGCAAACTATGACCTACGAGACACTCACCACTTATTTGACTGAAGTAGAAAGAATACTTAACGATAGACCTTTAGTTCCAGTTTACGACGACCCAGAACAACTTGAGACATTGTCACCTAATAATCTACTTTTGTTAAGAAAACCTAGCCTTCATCAGATTGAAATAAGCCTACGTGAGCGTTATTCCCGACAATGGCTACAAGCGCAGCTGTTGGCAACTACATTTTGGCGTCGTTGGATAAAGGAGTACTTACCACTTTTACAGACACGAGCAAAGTGGACACAAGGGAGACGAGATCTACGAGTTGGTGATCTAGTCTTGATTATTGGAGACACCTACACACGAAATAACTGGCTTAAAGGTCTAGTGGTAAGTATCAACCCAGGAGAAGATGGGCTAGTGAGACAAGCGAAAATCAGAACGTCGAGAGGCATAATTATTAGAGATATACGTAAAATTTGTTTATTAGAAGGAGCGGATAACTGAACAGTAGAGGATAGATAGACGCTTCAGAGTGACTGTGGCTAGAGTAAATTGTACCATTGTCACCTCTGAATGATGTTACGTTAGTTCCCAATCAGCGAAAGTGAGGAAAGACATGCTGTCTTTGGGGGGCGGTGTTAAGTTTGCCTTGCATTGTTCCTACTCTCTCTCCTTCCACTTCTTTGTTTATTGTTTTATACTACTTATTTATATTCAGTAAGCAGTTGTATCCTTAACAATTTTCACATTTACATTGTAACGTAAGTTGTACTGTAACATTCGGAAACGTTCCCATATATTTATAATGTTTATTGCACTTATCATTGTATTTGTCATTGTAATCACGGTACTTTAATTACTGTAACGGTTATCCACAGTTGCGGATTTGTTTAAACGCAACAGTTTCCATATTGTTTGCTCTTGGTTCGAGTTTCGATTGTTCATAAACTATTGTCCAATTTCGACACAGCCATCGGCTGTCTTTGTACTATCGAAGCCTTTACTATTTCATTCTTGAACGACGCGGTAAACGCATAGACACCTCACAAGTTGAGGTTTGTAATTAAATTTTGTATTTTATATAATAATAGAACCGCTTTTGTAGACAAATCGTTGTTTTGGAACTTCGATTTTGCGCGTATCTCAATCGGGTCATTTGGACGCTTCGATAGACTTAACAGTTCTCAACTTTGGTCTTATTGGTGTGGATACAGTTCTGAACTTTGGTCCTAATTGTTGAAGATACTTGCTGTAACTAATTTGGTCGGAATCGAGTCTGGTTCATTCAAACTAACGATGACGAAAACGAAAAGGATGAAGTACAAC